ATAGATGTGCCCCAAATGGATCCTATGAAAGCTGTTAGCAAGAGAAACTCAGTTCATGTTTTGCAAAGCAGTGAGCCTTGCTTTAATCAACATAGTCTTTTTACCCATACTTTGCCAACGAGAGTCAGTATTTTATCCTTAAAGTGCAGACAAACATCTTTTTCACTCCTTTACAGTGCGAGTCTTTCCTTCCCTGTGGATGCTAGCTTGCAGGTGAACCCTTAGGAATGGCTGGATTTGGCCAGTGAACAAGGGCACTGGTGGGCTCTTTGGGATTCAGCCACAGCACACGTGGGAGGAAGCTGATGTGGTGCCCATGAGACAGTCACTCCACAAAGAGCACAGTGTGGGTCCCATCCATGTGCCCAGTGTGGGACTGTCTCTACAGGCACAGCTGGTGCTCTCCAGCTCACCCACACAAGGTGGAATTAAACAAGTCTAAAACTGAAAGCTGTTAGGCTGCCTCCCTTTATGTGCAGCCTAGATATATCCATGTGCCCATCACCTTGTTTCTTCTCTCCGTGATTATCTTGGCCAGCAACTGTTTACACTTGTCTGAGAGACCAGCCAAATTAAAATACCAAGCAAAGGTGTGACTGTGTGCCCCCCCATCTTTCTTACCCCCTTACTGAATGAGCCAAATTCTGCCCACAATACAGCATGGAGAGATCTTCTCACTGTGGTCTTGCTGGGATCACCCTGTGCCTGGGGTCTAGCTCTGTGCCTGGGGTCTAACAGCTTCATGTGAAACGAAGAGAGAGTGGCTGTTCTCACATTGGCTTTGCATTGGTATGCAATGAAGAGATTTATGTCAAGAAAAGCTTAACAAAATATGTTAGAAACATTCATGGCACCAGTCTTTGTAGTGTCACTTATGCTTACTGTGCCTTCCTAGATACTTTTAAAAAACAGCCTGTGTCTATGGAAAGTAGTTCCCTTGTGTCGAGAGGCCTGATCTCAGTTGTTTTCATGGAGCTAGGCATTCAGTCCAGTCATTTGTCCAGAATAACTCAGCAGAAAATATGGTATCACATCAAAAAGTCATTTCCTGGTAATGTGGCATCTTCTTTGGCAAATGCTTCTTAAAACAAACAAAGGTACAATAGATAAATTTCTCAATTCTAGGCTTGTTTCAGACCATATCTGCCAGACAGCAAACACTGTTGATCCCACAGTAAGTGACTTTCCCTTGCTTCCTTATTCCCGCTCCAAGGCCCTGCAGACACTCTATGTGTGTTTATGGATACAGCTCTGTGATTACTTTGGAAGTGCGAAAGACTTGGCATAAGGGGGTTGTGACAGGGTTTCACTGGCTCTGATGAGTCTCCTCAGTGGCTTCAGTTTTGGCTAGCTGAATCTTTGCTTCAAAATACCATTCAGTTTTTCAGCAATAAAACAACAATCTCAGATGGCACTCTCTGGTGTGGCCTGACCATCTAACCAGCTGCCTTCAGAATTTAGGAAGGAGGCTGAAGGAAGAATGAAAGAATACAAATGTACATCGATTGGCATTGAGATTCCTGGCTTTGATTTGTCTTTGGGGAGTTCTGTCAACCAGACAGTTGTCTGAGTGTGAGTGAGTGTCCTTCTGTGGCCTTTTCACCATGAACCATTAATCAGCAGTTGTGTGGGATTCGGTCCCCTCCTTTGGAGATGGCCTTGTGCTGAGATCTAAGGTTATTTGTTGCTTTGGCTTTGCTACAGGCTCTTTACTCTGTTACCTTGTACCTGAATCATACTTTTTGTCCTGTCTCCCTTCCCTTTCCTTCTGCCCACCCATTTCTTCTTCCTCTGGCTCCAGCTAAACCTGCATCAGACAACTCAAGCTTATGCTTGTTACTGAGCTCAGGACTGCTTAAGAGTTTTCCAAGAGCTGTGCATGTGCATGGTATTGCTGAATGAAGAGTTTTGTATTGGAACATAATTACCAAGGGGCCTGGCACGGAACAAGAAATACAAGTCCTTTTCTTACACAAACATTTGCAATTTGAGTTGGCTGGATACCCGAATACCAATTCTCTATGGGTTGGGATCTTGTAGGTTTGTTTATCCAGTTACATTCCTATTTTCGAATTTAACAACTCCCTAACTATCATCACCATGGTAGAAAAAAAAATTGATATGCAAGGTACAGGAGACAATTTTATGTTCAATTTCAACAGCAGGTAAAAAAACTGTTTAGCCAGAGGCATCACAGAACAGTTCTATCTACACAAAAAAATTCGATGAACTACATTACATTTTCTATTTCTTCTGCTTTCCAGAATGGGGGTTTAAAACTCAGACACAAGTAAACAGCAACTTTTTCCTAAACTCTCTCCATTCTGACAAGAATACTTCATTACAGGAAACACAAAACCAAAAACAGAATCACAGAATAGCTGAGTTGGAAGGAACCCTCAAGAATCATCAAGTCCAACACCTGGCCCTGCACAGGACCATCCCCAAGAGTCACACCATGTGCCCGAGAGTATTGTTCAAACACTTCTTGAACTCTTTCAGGCTTGGTGCTGTGACCACTTCCCTGAGGAGCCAGTGCCCAACCACCCTCTAGGTGAAGAACCTTTTTCTAATATCCAACCTAAACCTCCTCTGACACAGCTTCAGGCCATTCCCTTGGGTCCTGTCACTGGTCACCATAGAAAAGAGATCAATGCCTGACCCTCCTCTTCCCCTCATGAGGAAGTTGTAGACTGCAATGAGGTCTCTCCTCAGTCTCCTCTTCTCCAGTCTGAACAGACCAAGTGACCTCAGCTGCTTCTCATACGGCTTCCCCTCAAGGCCCTTCACCGTCTTCATTGCCCTCCTTTGGACACTCTCTAATAGCTAATTATCTTTCTTATATTGTGGTGACCAAAACTGCACACAATATTCAAGGTGAGGCCACACCAGTGCAGAGCAGAACAGGACAATCCCCTCCCTTGACCAGCTGATGATGCCTTGTCTGATGCCCCCCACGACATGGTTGGCTCTCCCAGCTACTAGGGCACTGCTGACTCATTCAACTTGCTGTCAACCAGGACCTCCAGTTGACAGACGCCCAGACTTCTCTCCAGTGTCTTGTTCCCCAGTCTGTACGTACATCCAGGATTGTCCCATCCCAGGTGTAGAATCCGGCATTTTCCCTTGTTGAACTTCATGTGGTTGGTGATTGCCTAGCCTTCTAATTTCTCAAGGTCTCTCTGCAGGGCCTCCCTACCTTTAAGGGAGTCAACAGCTCCTCCCAGTTTTGTATGATCTGCAAACTTACTTAGTCTCCCTTCCAGTTCTGTGTCCAAGTCATTTATGAAGATGTTGAAGAGCACAGGGCCTAAGATGGAGCCCTGTGGAACCCCACTAGTGACAGGTTGCCAGTCTGATGTTAACCCATTCACTATTACCCTCTGTGCTTGAGCTGTGAGCCAACTGCTCACCCACCACATGATGTGTTTATCCAACTGTGTGTTGGACATTTTGTTCAGAAGGACCCTGTGAGAGACAGTATCGAAAGCTTTACTGAAATCCAAAACGAAGACGTCAATTGGCTTCCCTTGATCAGCTAGGTGGGTTACCTTGTCATAGAAGGAAATCAGGTTTGATAAGCAGGACTTTCCTCTCATGAAGCTGTGCTGGCAGTGACCAATGATTGCTTTGTATTTCAGGTGTTTTTCAATACTTCCCAGAATAATCTTCTCCATAACTTTACCAAGCACTGAAGTGAGACTGACAGGCTTGTAGTTTCTGAGGTCCTCCTTCTTGCCCTTCTTGAAAATCAGGACAACATTCACTAGCTTTCAGTCAGCTGGAACTTCTCCAGTTTCTCAAGACCATTTCAAAATCATTGAGACAGGTGTTGTGAAGACAGCTAGATCTCTGAGGATTCTGGGATAAAATCCATCAAGATCCATAGATCTGTAGGGATACAGCTGGAACAACAGATTCCACACAGTTTCAGGTTTGATTGAGAGTTGATTATTCTCACAGTCATGGTCCTCCATTTCAGGGCACTGAAACTCCCTTGGTCCATCTGTGTTGAAAACAGAGGCAAAGAAAGTGTTAAACACCTCTGCCTTGTCTGTGTCCCTGTTTGTGAAGTGACCATCCTCATCCTGTAAAGGGCCAATGATATTTCTATACCGCTATTGCCATTAATACATTTGAAAACACTCTCTTTATTGTCCCCCACATTTCTGTCCAGCTTCAACTCCAGCTGAGCTTTGGCCACACAAATTTTCTCCCTGCAGCAGCAAGCAGCATCTCTGAATTCTTCCTATGTCACTTGGCCTTACTTCCGCTGGGCATACACCCTCCTTTTTTGCCTTATTTCCAAGAGGAGATCCCTGCTCAGCCAAGGATCTTCTGCCTTGCCTGCTTGACTTCCGACATTTGGGAATTGCCTGTTCCTGTACCCTTAGGAGGTGATGTTTGAAAAGTGACTAGCACTGATGGACCCCAACACCTGCAAAAACATTTTCCCAGAGGACCTTGCTTACTAATTCTCTGAGCAGCCTGAAGTCTGCTCTCCTCATATCCAGAGCTGAGGTTTTGCTGGCACTTTTCCTCCTGTCAACACAGATTTTAGACTTGATCACTTTGTGGTCGCTGTGGCCAGGACAGCCATCAATCTCCACTTTGCTGAGGAGATCTACTCTGTTGACAAGTAGCAGATCAAGGAGGGCATCTTTCTGAGTCATCTCCCTTAGGACCTGTTCCATAAAGTTGTCATCCAAGTTTTTTAGAAATCTTCTGTCCTGGGTTGTACCAACTGTGTGATTCTCCCAGTTGACTTCTGGCAAGTTGAAGTCCCCCGTAAGGACAATGGCAGTTGACTTGGAAGTGTCCCTTAGTTCCTCAAAGAATAATTTGTTTGCGTCATCATCCTGGGTGGGAGGTCTATAGCAGACTCTCGCAATGACATCTGCATTATTTGTCTGCCCCTTTGTTCTCACCCAGAGCCTCTCAACTGTGCCATTGCCAACTGTAAGCTCCATACATTCTAACCCTTCTATTACACACAGTGCCACCACTCTGCCTCTTCTGCACTGCCTATCCCTCCTGAAGAGCCTGTAACCATCCAGTGGGGCACTCCAGTCACAGGACTCATCCCACCAGGTTTCCCTCATGCCAATAATGTCAAATCTCTGAGACTGGGCCAAAGCTTTGAGTTCCTCATGTTTGTTCCTCGTGCTGTGTGCATTGGTATAGAAACATTTCAGGTAGCCAACACCTCAAGAGGCAGACTGAGGGATCCCATTAGGATTTTCTCAAGTTTTGGCACACCTTCCCACTGCTCATCACTGGTGAGCCTGGTTTTGTCCCTTTCCCCTTTCCGAGCTAGTTTAAAGCTCCATCAACAAGCCCCACTAGCTCCTGCACTCTTTTTCCCCTCTGAGATAGGTGTCAGTAGACCAGGTGTTGAGTAGATCATCCCATGGTCAACAACCCCAAAATTTCTCTGACTACACCAACCTCAGAGCCACTCATTGACCTGATGAATATGCCTATTCCTGTTAATATTATTCCTCGTTACCGGAAGAATCAAGGAAATCACTACCTGTGTTCAAGAGCCCTCTACCAAACATCCCAGGGCCCTAAAGTCTCTTTTGGTTGCCCTTGGACTTCTTTTGTAATCTCATCACTGCCGGTTTGAACAACCAATAGCAATCAAAGAACCCAATTAGACTGCAGAGTTTTCCAGTAATGTCCCTTACCCGAGCCCCTGGGAGGCAGCAGACTTCCCAGGGGTCTGGTCTGGTCTGCATATTGGGCCTTCCATTCCCCTTAGAAGGGAACCTGCTACAGCCACCCTTCTTTTCCTCATAACAGAGGAGGTCTTGACACAGGATACAGATGATGTTGTTTTAGGAGGCCCCACTACCCCAGAATGACCTTTGCCCACCTCATCAGTTGTCTGGCCTTCTAGTTCCAGAGACTCATACCTGTTGTAACCCTATATGTAGAGCAACCAGGGGAGTTATAATCAGAATACTATATCCCTCATGATGTGTAATTGCAACAGTATCAGAGACTTGTACACTGGAGAAAATACTGTCAACACTGAAAATAGTCTGAACAATACTTTGTTTTTTTTAATAACACAGAGTGTCAAATAAACAGGGCTTGGGGTAAATACAAGTATTAATAGATTAAAGTTGAGAAGAATGTCCATGAAGTTCACTGATATGTCTACGTCTCAGTCAGTCTTACTCTGTCTGTCTGCCTCTATCCCTCCTCCCATTTTGTGCTTGTTTCCAGCACAAGGTGACAGACCAAGACTTCAGGAGAGCTAAGGAGGAGCAGATATTTTAAAAAAAATTCTGGAGAGGTAAGATTCCTTTACAAGATAATCCTTCTCTGGAAAGGATTTCTGACAAAAGGGTATTGCGTCCATAGAGGTGAATCCTTCAGTTTCTTTATACTAGATAATTAGTCACTGGACCGAAACTTGATAGTAGCCTACCTGGAGCAGCATGACAGTCAGTAGGGGCTAATGAAGACACTGCTGACTAGTCATAGAAATATTTTCCTAACAAAACATTTCCTGGAAATGAGAGGAGTTGGGAGAAAAAATATAGTCAGAAGACTAATGATTATTAACTCAGAGACAAATGTATTCTACATTCATATAAAACATAGTTTTTGTAATTTGGTAAAAATGAAGAGAGAAAGAAAGCTTGACTTGGAAGAAAGTAAACTAGGACTGAAAGTTGGTCTAAAGTGATCCACCCAGTTGCAACACTCACCATCATTTAAGTTTTCAAAATCTGATGACATTCAGAGCACATCTCGGAAAAGCCTGAATGAGTATTTTAGTATCTCTCAGAAAATTGTCTCCAGTCATCAGCAATATTCAAGTGAAATCAACTATGCATTAGTAAGAGAAAGAGAAAAGTTTGGAGGTTTGGTAACATGGAAGATACAAAAAGCAGATAAAGAGAGATAAGAATGGGGTAGCCTTATTTGTGTCATAAATAACAATATGACTACTTTGCAAGGATGCAAGGAATACTACAAGAAGCAAATGGACATTTGATAGACAAAAATTATGAAACTATCAATGGTAATGTAGAAAAGATAGACTTGTTCTGTTCTTATCTGTATTTGGAAGCCAGAAAGCTAATGAGCATGAATGCCTTATTGCCACTCAGAAAGCAAGACTACTTTAAAACACACAGACTCAGAATGAATATTTTGAAAATCAACAGACCTAGAAACTTGCAGTCAAGAGACCTACAGAGATGATGGAGAAGATTCTGGCCTAGAAATACTCATTTTTAGTGAATCCTGAAGCACCAGGAGGACACCAGAACAATGCAGAGTGTTCAGCCAACATCACAGTAGGTCACCAGCACAATTGGCAGCACTGCAGCTTGGTCTGTCTGACCAGGCAGCAGAAAAATGAATTGTTAATGAAATTAGATGGGAACACAGTCGTTAGAAGTCCACACTGGTTTACAAGATAGCATTCTTGTATGAAACTAATGATACAGAGTGTCTGTGTGGTTTCTTCCAAAGGGATTAATATAGTGCTTGAAACCACTCCAAAGAACTCATTAGCTGGTTCCCTTCAGACAGCCATCTATATGCAACATGTTATTCAATACTGCTGATATATAACCAGACTGTACCAACAAGCAGTTAGATTGTAGCTGGACTACAGCGTCTCAATCATCAGCTGTAGGTCACAGTTAAGACCAAGGTAGAATTGATCTTGCCACATTGGCAAGGAACTGTTCAGGTGAGAGATGCATGACTGATCTCTGCTGTAAAAAGAAGTGAAAATTCCACAAATGTCCTTGATGATTTAACTTTTGAAACCAAGTCAAGTGGTCAGCATAACTTTGAGCATGTGAGCAAGAGGCAACATCAAAGCACCTAAGAGAGTGGGACCTCATTAGTGACTGGAATCCGGGTCAGCAATTGAAAAATCACAGAAACAGAAGACTTTATTACCCCAATCCAGTTTGAGCAGGGATGTGCTTTTATCTCTGTGTATAGTATTAGGGAGACTGTTTCAATGCCCACAGTTTTAGAGGGTTGTTGAAATATTAGCATGGGTGTGGAAAACAGCCAAAAAGTTGTGCAACATCTAGAAAAAAAGGCCATAGCAAAGGCTTGGAGAACTCAGTTTGTTGAGTTGAATCAAGACTTAGAAAAAATGAGAAATTTCTTGATTACATAGGGTGTTTCCCTCCTGACAGAAAATGTCATGGATGAAAGAGCTCTTAATCTAGCAGAAAATGTGCAACAAAAGCCAAGAGCTGAAAGTAGAAGCCTAGCAAATTCAAATGAGAAAATAATCAGAAGTGTTTAACAATGAGAGTAAGCATTAGAACAAATTGCCAAAGAAAGTGGTCAGTTCTTCATGTCAAGCTATCATCACATCAAAGCTCCAGGCATTTCTAAATCACAAGCTTCTGTTAGTTAAGTCATTGGGCTCCTTATGAGAAAGACAGTCCAAAACCTAATGGCCCACACCAAGGACTGAAACTTGGCTTCAGGAAACTCAGACCAGATAAGTTATTGACTTCTCTAGCCTTCATTTTGTGGGTCTAAGAGTCTGGTACAGGTTATTTTACATTCTTAAATTCTTATCTACCAGCCTTATTTGTCATTTTTCTTGTAAACAAAGACTTCCTCCAGCTTTTGCCTGTCAGAACTCCACGGGTGGGTGAAGAACTGTCTCTGCATCTCTGGAAATGCAAAGGGAATTCTCCTTGTGGCTAAGTACCCTGTAGTAGCAGGGGGTTGTCTTTTCTCAGACTTTTCCATTTTTCCTGGAAAGAGGGTAGTTTCCCACTACTTGGGACCTTGGTTTTTTTATTTTAACTTTTATTGTGAAAAAAACCCAAAACCAATCAATGCCATCCATTGGTACAGAACAAAAAATTAGTGTAGACCGAACACATTTTTATCCACTAAAGAAAGATGTAGAATAAAACCCTAATCCAGTGACAGATTAAATAAAGGCCAGAGTTAAAAGTTTTGTCTTACGACACAGTCTACAACAGTTCAAATTGTGTGGCAAGAAGTAATAAATGCCGGCGCCAAGGGCTTGTGGGGGACAAGTCCTCCTGCCTGGTTGCGGAAGCTCAGGCCCAGAGACAGACACCAGGAGCATTCTGGTTCATTTCAACTATGGTAAAAATTGGACAGCTCCAGAACAGATACTGGTACCTGTTGGAGAGGATGGGTCAGACAAGGCACTCAGCTTCAGGAGAGCTGGTGTCTTAAATAAGTATATATGACACAGGAGCACTTGCCTCTCACCTCAGGCTCTACCTCTCTGATACTTTAGTTTTGTACTCCTCTCCTGCTTTGAGCGGGAGGTGGGACTGACTTACCGTGGTCTATACTTTGATCTTTGTGTTCCTCTTTGTAATCTTCCCAATTTGGGGGATTTTTCTGCTCTGTTTAAAAACAGGAGACAAAGGAAACAAGTGTCACTGAGGCATCTGGGAAAAGCTTTCTTGCACTTCGCTCTGACATGCACACCCAGGCTGAAAGTGGTGATCTGCCTTGATTCTCCTTCCTGGATCTCTTGTGCTGCTTCTCGCCTGAGTTTCCAGACCTTAGTTCCTTGCCTCAAACAGTGCCAAAGCCATTGTTTTTTATGATGGAGCTATGTGATTTCTGTGCCAGAATTATAAGTAAACCATGAAAAAATATTAATGTTTTTGTGTAGACTTATACAACTTTTTCCATGAAAACCCTCAAAAATAGCAAAAGTCTCGTCTTGTCATGAACCATAGGGAAGGGTATGGTACATGTGTGTCTTCTTAAAGCACCAAATGTTCATCCAGAAAGAGCATGTTTGCAGACCAGAGATGTTCTGAAGGACATCACTTACAAGACTCCCACCAAAAGACCTCTGCAAAGGCCTCGCTAAGCACATATATATGAAATCTCCTTTCCGGGCAAACTTTGGTCTACAAACACAGCTGCTCCTGCTCTTGAGCAGTCACAAAGCATGACTACAATGTCAATTTGGTTGGGGCAAAGTCCCAACAGGGTACTACTTTTTACTAGGAGTGGTTGTCTTTTCCATCCTGGAACAAGAACAGCAGTCACCACTAGGGGACCATTGACTTCACCACTGTCTCACCTAGGGCCCCAGCAATGCTTCCTGTGCTTTCCTACCAGGAAACACTATTGTATGTGAGATCCCAAACACTTTATAAAGTGCTTTCAGCCTTAGCATTCGTATCAGCACTTTGTAAAACACATGGGGAAGGAAACACACATGCCAAATTCTTCGAGCAGTGAGACTGATTAGTAATTCAAGGTTCGTCCTGAGGAAATGCTTGCTCTTATAAAGTAGTGGGCTGCTAACACTCATGTTTGAGCAGCCTTCGTTGCTCAGGGACTCAGATACATACTGTGAAATCTGTACATACCACCGTGTGTTTTTGAGGTTGGTGGGTGGACATGTGCCCATTACAGAGACTAGCTATACAAATGCTCAATAATTAAGCAGTTAGTGGACTCCTACACATTTGTAAGGTACACAAGGCTCGTGGAGAGCCTGCCAAGTTCCTCAAGAAGTAATAGTTCATGACACTCTTGAGATATCTACCAGATGCCGACACAGTGTTGTGAAGTTCCTATTCCAGGACATAATTTTAAAAATAATTCTAGCTCAGGATTTAGATGCCAAAAAGCATTTGTGTATGAATTGTAATGTAAACCATAAACCCAAGAGGAAACACCAGAGCCTTCTCTTTTTGTGGATACCTTGTGACTAAGGAGAGTTAAGAAAATATTCCTTTATTGGCAACAAAACAAATACATTTTACTGTCCCATATGTGCAAAATGAAACAACCAATTAATATATATCTGGCAAAGAAAGAATATTTTTATCTTCCAGCATTGCCCACACATCCCAAAATTTATATATTGATTTCAACATTTGTGAGTAGCACACAGAGGGCAGATGGTGAACACTCTGCTGAGCACCAAGTTTGGCTGACAAGAAGGCATGGCAGTTTTAATAACAGCATCAGCAATTCAGCTCACCATGACTTTTCTCACATTTCTGGCACTTACACTGGGAATGCTCAGTGGTCTAGCAAAAGCTTTAACATAGTTGCTTTCATATCATCAACTAGCTGGCATAATCACTCTCACAGTACTAACATAATCTTATCCTTTCAGTAGACATCAAAATTAATTGCAGTAGAAAAGCAGTCCCAAGAAGAGACACTTGTCTTCTTTGACTCGCATAGGATCTACATTTGTAGAACTAAGTTCTATAAAAAGTGGGCATATGTGTGCGTTGTGTGTTTTCAGCATATTGGCCCTTAGAAGCAGGCTTCTTTTTTTTTAATTTTTTCTCAATTAAGATTCAAATGGGTCTAAGGAAGTCTTAAAGCTAACAAGACACTAGACCTGCTTTTCCCAGTATGTTTTTTACAGGGGAAATGCAAAGACAACAGCATGAGCAAGAGAATGCAACTCCCACCCCCGCAGCAAGCCATCCTCAGTGTATGTTTTCAGCCTAAACCCACCAGCCTCTGGGCCAGAATAAAGTGTGTATTTGTTGTTTCTTGGGTATTGTAACAACCTATTTGTAATTGCTGAATATATTCAAATGCCCCATACCAGCATTTTGGGCCAGCCCAATCTTCTTCATCAAGTTTGAATATATCAGCCCCTGAGCGCACTAATCACTGAGCCTTGCTCGGCCTCAACTGGGACTTCAAGTCACAGCCACACCCACACCCACAGCCACAGCCACACCCACGGGGCCAAGAAGCCCCATTTCAGCTGAACCCTGGCTGAGCTGTGGCCATGTCTGGGCCTTATCAATCCAGATCTCTACCTGCAGATTGACATCCTGGCTTAGTTCAGCCTGGTTGTTGTGGACCTTCCTGGCTATCACTAGACCTAGTCTTAACCCTTACCTACAGACTGAATTTCCAGCCTGGCCTCAGACCTGTTTCATCACCAGGTATTGCCTCATGATCTGGGCTCTTGACTGGTTCTGGCCATTGTGTCCAGATTTGTCCTTCTCACCTCATTTGGATGCTGTGGATTGGCCCTGGTTGGGAAGGCTGGGTCCTGTTGGCCCTGGGTTCCCACCACTGCCTTCTGGGTCACCTTACTTTACGGAGCAGGTGGCCCATGTGGTGCCATGATAGTGGGACCTGAGTTTAGGTTTGCAGAAGCATAAAAAAAAGGCCTGAACAAAATTCCCCCTTGTCACACAGTAGCTAGTAGACCATGTGGATAGTTTAGGTTGGACAATGCAGTGGGATGGAGTGGAGAACGCAGCTCAGGCCATTTGGTCTGGTTAAAAATAGTATCAAGGCCAAGACCCTGTATCAGTGTAGTCATACATTTAGATGTAGCTTTGAAATCAGTCCCATTTCTAATACAATGAAATGCCATGGGTCAACAAATCAATACTTTTTACTCATAGTTTTGGACCTCATGGAAATTATCTCTATGCATGTTGGTATACTCTACACTGACCTGTGAGACACATAAATATGGAGCTCTGGTTTCCCACATATCTGCAACTTCTGTCTCTTGTGGTTTTCATCAAAATAACACTATCTTCTTCTTGGCCTCTTAAGACTTCCCCATGACAATATTCCCAGATTCTTCCCATGTCCCCAGAATGATTCCTTCTCTGATTCTCTTAAGCGTCTGCTTCATCCTAGGCCCTTAACATTTTCCCTCATAGTGGTAACTTTACTTTATCCTGCTCCTCAACTCAAATATTTCCTCATAGTTTCATTATTTACCATTTTTGCCTGATAGGTGAGTAGGAGGTTATGTGAATAAGGACAAGGTTAGAGCTCCATGCCCACCAAAGCTGTAGGTAATGGCTGGCTTCTTCTTGCCTCTTCCTTGGTAAATGGAACTGCACTGATCTGGGCATTTCTTTTTCTCCCTTTCCTCTTCCAGCATGGATTGCTGTGAAATTAGTTTTAAGAGGCTGTTGCTCTCTCAAACATGATTGGGACTGACCACCAGGTTCAAGAGCACCTGGGTGTACCTGGGGAAAGAGCTGATAGATGGAAGGGTTTTGCATAAGCTCTTGTTCCTCTACACTCTTGAACTATTAAGTGAGATTCAAGTGCTCAGGGAGTGGAGTTATTTAACCTCCCTCACATTTTAAATTCATCCAACAACAACTGCAATGGTATATTAAGTGTATTTAAAAACATATTAAAACACTTTACCTTCTGTTTTCAGAACTGCATTGCAAGATCAGCATTTTACCCCAGGTAGTGATAAGAAAGAGCTTTTGAACACCCATTACACTGCACAAGTGTGTGGGGAACTGCTCTTCATTAATTTAGAATGGAGGGAATTTTTGAACTCCAGAAGACAGACTAGTAAGTGTAGTTTGAATGTGCCTCTCTCCTTTCCTCTTTTCACTGTTTTTACATTGACCTAACATATAAACAGATAGCTTTCCAAGATCTCTGTTGGCAAGCAGGGTTTAGTGTGCAAGCACCAATCCAAATATTATAGGACCTTAGAGGTCTTTGGCTGCAGAAAAAATGGTTTTAAAAGCAATAGCAATAGTAAAAGGATCATAGTACAATAATAGATTTGAAAGCTTATACTGTGAATGATGCAGTGGATGAGAGTTGATGATATAGATGAAGTACTTTGTGAGCTGCTGGGAGCAAAGCAGGTCCTGATTATTTCATTGACAGAGGTGGGTTGTGGGGGCAGAGGACACCACATAAAAGTTGGAGCTTTCAATCTATCCATGATTACTGCGGTGCTTGAGGAGGGTGCAGCAGCAGCACTGTCAGTCACAGGCTGGATAAGGGAAGGGGGAGAGCCTGTATTTGTATATTCAGTAGAGCTTTGCACTGACTAACCTAAATGCTGTTGTGATAAATATAATAGTAATTAACTCAAATGGGAAATTAAGAAGAAAAAAAAAAAGAAAATGAAAAGGGGAGCCCCTAATAAAAGGAATTCTAAAGAGATCTGCATGACCCTGACAGAAGATACCAAGGCCCAGATCCTCAGAGCTGTTCAAATCAGAGTCAGGTGGCTGAATAACTTTTAAGATCTCAGCCACAGTCCAGGGGGACAGAAAAGGAGCTACAAGCTGCTTCTTGACAGACTGCTTTTCTTTCATTCTGAGAGGAAGCATGAAAGGCTGATCTGTCAATATTTTTCAGGATACTCATGCTCTTGCGAATTTCTCTTGCTTTTATTTACTGCATCATGATGTTTGCATTCTGGTTTACGTGTGGTATACGCATTGAAACTAACTTGAAATTCTAGAGATTTCTTTGCCTGGTTGCCCAAATACAACAGACTTGTTTGGCAGACTAAAGAAAAATTAAAAATGCTTTGGCTGTAACTCCCTGCCATAATCAAATCAAGACCTTGATTTCCTCAAACTCAAACTCCTTGTTAGGACCACACTTTAGCAGCAGTGGTTTATGTCTCTAAAACAGAATAGTTATTATTAGCTAAAGGCAAAACACATTCAGTCAATCAGTTTCTGTTTTGGAGATGTTATGGATGGCATGTAAAATGAAGTACTGACAACTGACAAAATAACACAGCAATGAAATTCTATTCATAAATTCATGCTGACTAGTTTCCAAACTATTGTTAATGGCAACTTCTTCATGGATGTCAACAAGGCAGGAATGGGAAGGCAGAAAAACAAGAATCACTAAACTAAACTTGAATGTGCACACAGAGAGAAGCATATGCACATGTTTATTTTTACAAGTGAGATAATGCCATGTCCATTCTAAGTGCCACTTTTCTGCTATTCCATCTGTACAAAGGGCTCTTAAACCAATTATGAAAAAATACAGGAGATGAAGGGAGGAGCAAGGGAGTATATGACCCAAGAAAATTGGATAAATCATGTGGACACATACTGTGTGAGTAGTTTGAGCTGGCTCACAGGCAACACAAGATGAGTCTGTCCAGCAGAGCTCTATCCCCTGGCTTTAATGTTCCACAAACACCCTGCTGCTCTCAAATGGCTGTAAGGATGGTTTTGAAAGCATAAGCCAAAGATAAGCAATACAAAGGTGTCCACAAGCAGGCAGAGCAAAATCTTAAAACTTTTGCCATTCATCTTAATGGCATGTTATTGTTTAAATCATGCAGCAAGATACAGTTTAGTGTTGCTAACTATTTCATTGCTTGTTAAAACTGGCAAGGTAAAACTGGACTGACAACTGATAGGAAGATATACACTAGTCACTCTCACTGGCATCTCATTTTGGCCTTGCATCACAGTAACAAATATGAGTTTCATATTTGCATTATAAAGGATTGTCTTGAAACTCTTTGCTATGAAATAAGCTGATATTCTGACTGTTCTGCTCTTTACCTGGCAACCTGCCTTTACATTACAATTTGATGTTACTGTGACCGTGAGATGATAAAATTAAGCCCCTAAGAAAAGACAGAAAGACAGAGTGATAATAATGGTCTTTAGGAGAGCAGATTTCATCTTCAGTATACCATGGGATGCTGCCATAGAGCACTTTAAAGGAGCTTCACATTTTTTGATCTTCAAGAAGAGTCTCCTTGGAGGAGGAATACTCAGAAATTAGTAGTCCTGGCAGGGGATTGGCTTTGGAACTGGTACCTCCTCACTAAAATGAAATGCATACTTTGAGGTTTTCCAAACTTAGCTGGATGAAGCTTTAAGCACTCTGAAAGTTACCCCTGCTTTGCACAGCAGAGATACAGTGGTCCAAAGTCCCTTCCAACTAAAATTGTTTTTATGTTTATGCCGTGCCTTAATAGGTACGCATTAAAAAGGCATATTCTTTTCAGATAACAAATGGAAAACTCCCAACCATTCTTTGAACTGGATATGCTGCTGCCAAGTAAAAAAGAAAAGTCTGTCTGATAGTCAAATACGATGATGATGATGAGCCCATTACAGATGATTCTGGGTTTTCAAACTGAGTAATTGTGTAGTGTATTAGGCAACAGAAATGATCACTTTGCCTTTCTGTGCAAAAATGGTATTACAAGACCAGTCCCATCATCTTTAACTGTTTGAATAAGCCTTTTGATTCATCTGTTCATTCTTCCAATGACCTTTTTCCTATACTGCTTATTCTGATTCCCCACTGTAATACAATCAAGATATAAATCTCATGTGACAGCAAAGATCAGTAAGAGTCATGCAAGTAAAGGCAGACCAAAAAGTTGATGTGTGCTTTGTATAGCACTGTATCTTGGTTATGGTGAAAATTTTAAGGCAGATTCTGTGTTCTGTTTCACTAGAGGAAGCATGTTTCTTCCCCAAGTAAAAACAGCGTGCAGATCTTTGAAGGCAGGGCATAGGTGTCTGTCACAATGTTGCAAGGCATTTTGACAAAGGGTGGCATTTAGAAATGCTAATTTCTTGCTACTCTACTGAACACAGGTGTGTTCCTCACAACCTAAGATGGTGTGAGAGGACTCCAAGTTGGCTAGAATGTTGGGGCAGATCTAGCTAAACCTTTTGCTTATACTGGGCATTCTGAAGACCGCAAAAGAGCTCTTAAACTCAAATCCAAGTTTTATTTTAACAGAAATTAGATCCAATAGCTTTAAAAACAGATAAAACTAAAAGTGAGACAGAAGAGAAATTAGGCATTTGGAAACTGAATTCTTTCTTGCCCACTATGTCCTGGCAGAAAGGGTCCTTTTTCTCAGGCTTCCTATCAGTGTAGCAGCTCAGGAACTTTCTGTATTGCAATAGAACCTCCTCTGAGAAGATTCTTGAAACTGTAGACAATATCATTCACCCCACCACTTAGGCTTGGTTGTGTACCTGTTTTTCTGAGCACTTTGCCAGTCTCTGAGTTCTCACACCCTCAGTATAGCCTCCTACACACTTTAGTCAATGATGAAGTATTTTGATTGCTATTTAATTGGACTTCAATATTATACATTAGCCAAAAAAACTCACCTGAAGAATGAGAGAAGGTGATAAGAGGGGAATCATCTGGGAGGGGTGTAGAGGATATAAACCATCAAAGAAAGTTTGTTTTAAGACCAGTTTGGCACTGAACATGTGGTGAAAGAGCACCATGTAAAGAAAAGTCTCTGGCAAAGTTTTTAGGGTTGGTTTCTTCATTGTTTTCTTTTTATTAACTTTAATGTTTAATACATTATAAATTGCATAGGGCATGATTGGAAGAACTGACCCATTGAGGAGATGGTTGTGCTTATCAGAGAAGGACAGAATAACGAAGTTCTTCAGAAAGGGCTTCTGGAGACAAGAGATGAAGAAGCATCAAGCACTGGCAGAAAGACAAATTGAAACAGAGAGGTGATCTTACCATATGATATGACGTTTTGTAGCAATATTATAAATACCGTAAGAAATTTCAATTTATATCGTACATAGACTCTTCTAGAAACGTAAATTGCATGTAGAAATTATCTGGTAAATATATCTTAACATAAGAATGTAACTTTGCTCACGGGCACTCTTTAGTGAAAAACTGCAAGAGATGCACAGGTGTTTTTCAAAGACTTAGTTCATTCAGTTTAATGCCATGTAATGCCACTGGTTATTGGAAGTCTGTTCTAGCCCCCCAGTCTTGGCTCTTACCTATTTTTAATCTGGAAAATACTAAAGAGTCTATCAGTATCTATTTAAAGCAATGGCTCCAAATGGGCAAGAGAGAGAAAAGTATACAAGTATCTTTTTTTTCTTTTGTTTTTGAAAGGACTGTTAGAAAATGGTGCAGATATTTTGGGTATTCCACTCTGTGCCACAGACAGCTGTGCAAAGGGGAACCCAGGCCCATCTCCGGGTCTGAAAGAAGCACAGATCTGTGACTGTACAGCTCACCAGAATAGATACTGCTCCACCAGTGGTTGTGGTGGCAAGACAGAGATTTGGTCAGGCAAGAGACATGGTGGGTTCCTGGCAGTTTACACAGGCAGGTGGAAGGTCTGGGTGTGAGTGAAGAACAGAGTACTCAGCTGCAAGTCACAGAGGCAGGCTGGGAATCTCAAAAAAGGCAGTCACACACAGCAAGTATGTGTGTAGGAAGCTCAGAGAGCTATTCCTTAATGAGTTTGCAGCATGCCAGTCCTTAGATTGACATGAGTCAACTATCTGGTTTTTAATCTCTTCCTCTGCATGCATAGTGACTATTCATGAGAGGATTACTGTGAAGTACTCTGAAACTAAATGGCATGTTTAGGATCTCATGGCTACAGGAATAAAAGTCAAAGACAAGCTTGAATAGCACAAGAAATATGCAGTTTTGTTCATGTTTTCTGAGGAAGAAACTTAAAAGATCAGATACTCAGTGTCACACTCTTACTCGTATATAATCATAGCTCATGATGGAACATCAGCTCTAAAAGTTCAACTGCTGTTGCCAGTATGTAAGTGAAATGCCTCACATGGGTGTCACCTCTTCAGGATCACCTACTGCTCAAGAATATCAAGTAATGGGAGCAGGTGATCACATCAGCTGAGAAAGTAGACCAACCAGTAGCTTCTGCAGATCTAATGTTTTAAAATGTTCTTAACAAGCAAGTGCCTGTCTAGATTTACCCTGTAAGACAATATGATACCCAGCTGTGTAATTGCAGAGTTACTGCTTGCCAAAATAAGCCTCCTGTGAAGCTGAAGTTTTATGTAGATCCAGGTACTTCAGGCTCACCCTCCTCTCCAGAGGAGAGGCATTTTGAAATGTTTCATATTTAAAGCAACACACACACACATTCAGCAAAACAAGAGCCCTTCCTCTGGGGTGAGGGGAATGGGGACATGGCAGCTAACTACCACCCTAAAGAAAGAGGGAAA